GAAGGACCTTGCCGTCCTCGTCCTTGATGTTCTGAGAGGTGAACGACCTCTCACCTTCGACATCGATCATCTTCAGGTACCTGCGGAAACCCGCCTGATCCCCCTCGCGGCCCTTCTTCTCGAGCTGCCGTACATAGCCCTCGAAGAACGTTTCCAGTGCTCTCCACCTCGCGATGCTGCGCTTCTTCCGCGCCGCCTTGAGCATCGCTTTCAGGGTCGCCTCTCAGGCGCTGTTCTTTGAGGCCCCACGCAGTTGCTGCTGGGCCTCCTTAATCTCCTTCGACGCTTCGGAGATCTCCTGCTGCGCTTCGCTCGTGTACCAGCCTCTCTGCCCTCGTGCGCACCTCGCCAGCGGCGCGGTCTCAGCAGCGGCCGACATCACCGTAGCCGTCAGCTCGGCGGTGGTCTCCCCCGTTGGCCGCCTGAGCGCCGTGGGCGGAGGGCGGCTGGAGGCCCTGTTTTGGAAGGCGACCCGTAGGTGTTTGTCCTTCCTCAACCGCTCGAGGTCGATATGGATCCGGCTTCTTCCGCTGTTCCCCCGCACTCGTCGGTTGGGTGCGACACGGGGGGGGAGGCGGACAGTCGTAAGCACGAGGTTGTGGTCAGAGTCTTTGAAGTCGACACGTTTGACGGAGACATTGCGCACGAAACGCCGGTCCGTCTGACGCATGACGATGAAGTCGAGGCGGTACTTCTCCTTCCCCTTGTTGGAGCTGTGGAATGTGTGCTGCACTCCACCTTTCGGTGTCCGGAAGTAGGTGTTGTTCAGGGAGAGTTGGTTGTCTGATGCCAGTCCAAGGAGTCGTTCCCCGTTGTTGTTCATAATGTCGCGTCCGTACGCGCCCAAAATCTTGGCATCGCAGCTGTACTTTTGACTGATTCTTAAAATAATTCTAAAACAGCAGACCAGACCTCGACACGTGGTGTGCATCCGGTGTTCCCTGACGAAATTGATTGTGCAATCGTGTAGTTGGTGGTGTGTACCCAACTGCGCAGAATGAATATTTGATTGTCGATATACCCAAGAACATTGAACGATCTTTCTTGAGTGTGTGTGTTACCGAGCATGCATCTAGCCGCCGTTTCTGTGTACGCCGTATTACTCTCATCTCGACGTAGGACGTTGCGAATTGCACAAACGGGTAGTAACAAATCGGCGCCAAGTAATCGGAGTGGTTCACGATTGCTGGTGGTTTGTCAGATCGGCGCGTGAAGGGAGGGAAAAAGCACGCGTATCACGCTCCCCCCCCTCTCCCGCCCCCATGGTAATTTAGCACTTTCTCGACAATCAAATAGCGGCCGTTGAACCCTTCCATGCAGGACGACAAACTAAAGCTTTATGTCTGATCGATATCACTGGCCGTCGTGTGAGTAGCCGTCGTCGATGTGGTTCTTACGCGCTCTTCATCGTGTGGAGTTATGAGCATACGAAGATCAATCTCATCCTTGGGTGGAGGGAGGGAGGGTGCCAGATTTCGGTTCCCTCGCTGCAGGATACGCACGTGGCATATTTCGTACGAGCATGACGCGCGTCGTAGCGACCGGGCGTTCCAAACGTAACGTATATTCCCGCAAGGCTCCATGTTCAGCCTTGTGCGCGAGCACTTCAAGAACAACACCGACAACCAGGGGTGGTAGAGAGACATACGTCCATGTCGCAGCTTCGAGCACACACGGTATAAGAAGTAAAATCAATTGGGAGGGGTCGTTTGCGCAAACTCCCATGGCATCGTGTAGCAGACGAGCAAGACGCGCGTCGTAGCGACGGGGCGTTCCAAACGTGACGTATATTCCCGCAAGGCTCCATGTTCAGCCTTGTGCGCGAGCACTTCAAGAACAACACCGACAACCAGGGGTGGTAGAAAGACATACGTCCATGTTGCAGCTTTGAGCACACGCGGTAAAAGAAGAAAAATCAATTGAGAGGGGTCGTTTGCGCAAACTCCCATATGGCATCGTGTAGCAGACAGAGATTGCGATTACAGCCCTCGGAATCTCACAATGTGTTCACCCAAGCACAACCTTGTTACTTGTCTAATCCAGACAGAACGAACTGGAGGAGAGACAGCCAGCTTAACACAGACATGACCGATCACTCTATGGTTAGCTCACGAGACGCCTACAGATTGCTGTGGCACACCACGAACCCCCCAGGGAATCGAACGGAAACAGAAACAAGGCATCGACACGATTCAGTCTCGAGCACGATTTTCCGAAACAGGCGAATTTTTCCCTGTTCCTGTGGGGTCACTGACGTGTGAAAGGGGCAGCACTCGGGTGCAATGCTGCCAGTGGCGTTCAAACGTTGCACTCCTCCCTCTATGGCTTCCAACCTCCCCAAACGATCGGGAACACGCCACAACCGAGACCAATCATTTCCCTTGGTCCCCATGCGACGCCACCGTATCCCAACCTAATCGCGGGACGCTCTTCCTAGCCAAGGAAAGCAATACCCAAAAGTATTTACTTCGTTTGCTGCAACGCACCGGTGCAGCAGCACGGCTGTTCTTCCGAGAAAAACTAAAAAACAACGGCCAAGAGAGGGAAAAAGTCAACAACAAAAAAAACAAGACCACAACGCGAAAATATCGATCACGACCCTCCCCACTTCTTCTGTCAGTTCGCCCGCGAGGGAAAACGGACTGCGTGCTGGCGTCTATTCTCTCCCTCTCGAAACGAGCCCAGACGGTCCTGAGCACGCTCGCGCGCAACAACCTCACTTCTTGTAGGTGCTGAGGCTGGCCTTCAGGCGGCTGTTCTCCTCGATGAGGACCATGTTCTGGTGGACGAATGCGACGGTGGGGGTCGGGAAGGTGGAGAGAGAGGGGGGGTCAGGGCGGGCGGGCGCGGGGGGGGGTGGGCAGTAATTCCAACCGTACGTACGTACCCCCCAACGCGTGGAAAGAACCATGTAGTTTTTCTCACTCTTGGAAAACCTTAGATGAGCTCTGTTTCCTCAAAAACAAAAAAAAAGTATATTTCAGCACGTTTCGCACGTGCGGCCAGCAACACACAAGCATCGTGTTTGTGTTTCTTTCCAGTTTTAAGACTGACGTATTTTCATTGGTGAGCCAGCTAGCGCGGTCGATGCCAATTGAGAAAACACAAACACCCACTCGGATCTAGGCAACATCATCCCCGAGACATACAAGGTGCCACCATATTCGGCCTTCACGTCAGCTCATGAGCAGGTGGCCCTCGCTCAGTTGCGGCTTGGGTCGCCACACCTCGAATCGATCAAGCTCTGCCCGTTGGCGGCTGCTCAACCCATTTATCTCGAGACACAACAAGCGTACGCGATACACACTTGTACAACGACCCGCCGTTCGCTATGTGCGCAGCATGCATGGGGGTACGGGGGTGGGTACGCGGGTACAGTACAATACGCATATCTCGTGAAGTTCTCCCCGCCGTCGGAATCAAAGAAACAACGACTCCAAGAAAAATTTAACCGGGATCTCGTGCACACAAAACACACTTCCGCTACGGAGGGGTCCATCCGTCGCGCTGCAAGGCTCTTTCTAGACTACCAAGAGTCCAATCAGGTCGAACTCCTGCTACTCCCGGTCTCGTCAACACACGAGCTCATTCCACGGGTACGGTGAAACCATTAACGTTGTCGTTCACGCGCTCAAAGAAACACACGGAGGTGTACGTCTGTGCCAAAACCCTCGAAAATGCGCCGAAATCCTCGAAAATGCGTGCGGCACAACAGCAGTAGCCTACTTCTCTCCACGGGGAGGCGCACTGGGAGGCGGCACCATCTTTGCCGCCCGATTTAACCAGGGACAACTCAGTAGACAGCTATCTGCCAGCGACCCCAACAAGAAGGGGCAGTGTCGGAAATATTGTGGCAACTCTTGCTCGGGGATGCCGATTCTCCCAGTAAGGGCTGGGTGATGTGGGCAATGTTCATGAAAACACAACAATGCCTGCTGGGTGCTACCGCCATCCAAAAGCCCCAAAACAACAACACGGACGAAACAAGAGGAGGCGCGCGGAGTGGACAGGTTCACCACACCTGCTTGACGAGCTGCTCGACGCTGACGTTCATCGCCCCGGGACCCGCAGCCAAAATCTCCTCCAACTCCTTCATCTGTTCCTGGTACTCCTCGCACACTTTCTCGTTTGTCACCTGGACGTATACATATAAATGTGTGTCTACTAGTTAACATCGAATGCGCAACAAATACGTGTATATTCTTCTAGTTAGCATCGAACGCGCCAACCGACTCACCAGTCAACAGACGTCGGTTTGAACAATCAAGGACCCCTCAAGGGCGCGTGACCTGAAGGGGGCCCAAGATCCAAAGAGTGTGTGTACGCGGGTGTATGTCCTTCCTCGTTTAGCATCGGCCACGCAATGCAACAAGCTGGACCATGGTAGTTGGCAAAACTGACAAGTCCACCGAAGTGAGGTTTAACTTGTGTGCGCGTGTGTGTGATGCTCTAGGTTGGCCAAGGAAGAAGACGTCCGCAGCTGGTGATTTTCTGTTTTCTGGGACTGATCGTTGGCTACGAGGACGTTCGTATCTATTTTTTTAAGCTGCGAAAACATCGCCAGACGAGGGCAACGGGTGCATTCAGGGCTTTCTCGATGCGGCTGGAGGCGTCGACCAGAGGATGGGAAACAATTCGCTCTCCTTGGGGAGCGCCAACCCTTTTCATCAACCACAGGTAAAACCACCGCCACCAGGAAACCGCAGCAACAGAAGCGACAACAACCACAAAAAATACAAAGAAACGGCTTATTTGTCCGGACAATGGATCTGCGGGTAGAGAAGAACCGTTTACTTCACAAAAAATAATGACCAAACGACCGACCGACCGACCGACCGACCGACCGACCACAAGCAAGCGAGCAAGCACCAGTAGCCTTGCCAGGGGTTTCCGACGAAGTTAACATGTTGGATTAAGCGTGCAATCGGGGGAACTGGGTTCCGGCGAGGGTTTGGGATAGGGTCTGCGTACCCCCTTCCATGTTGTACTTCCTCATAACACTTCACTGCTCGCGCAGGTGGGGTCCCAGCAGCACTTACATCGCAGTCCTCGTCAAGGGTGGCCCGTGTGGCGATCGTGTTGTCGGCGGCGGCCACCTCCTCGTACGTGTCCCACGCCAGACGTGCCTCGGGGGAGGTGGCGCCGAACTCCTTCGTTGCCTTCAGGGCAGCTGCCTCTGCGACCTGGGAAAAAAAAAAGTGGGGGGGGGAAGGGGGGAGGGGTCTCATGATCTACAGCAGCATTGAAGCTCACGCTTGTGACAACTTTTCAGGGTGAACAACAGCAGAGTCATCAAGCGAGGGGGGCGAAAGTTGTGCTCGAGAATCAACACCAATAAGACCAACCTTGGTGCATGGGGGGTGGGGTGGGGGTAGCCCGTGCATAACCGCAGCATTGAGTAATCGGTGAGAAGGTACAGGTCGGGTATGCCCAGATTGGGAGGGTCAAATCTGTTGCTGCTGTGGAAGTTGTTTATCGACGGGCAACACAAACGGGCAGCAGCGGGGTAACTTCACCTCGGCGGCTGCCTTCTAAATAGCTCCGGGTGCCAACATAGGCGCGGGGCACAGCGGAAAAGCCTGGGAGGTACACACAAACCAGAAATCTCAAGAGACTATCCTGCCGCCCCCAACAGAACCTCGCGGACAACGACGAACGGAAACATGTCATTTGCCATGACGAGGACTTTACGTTGAACGTGACTTCGTTTCGTGTTGATGACAGAAGCCTTCGGACGCAGACGACGGGCAATTTCAGTCGACCGTATTGCTGTGTATTACTGTACATCCTGTCTGCAACATGACAACCAAGAAAGTTCCACAAGGAGGGCGTGCTTACAGCCTCCTCGATCGAGCCCGTAAGCAGCTAAGCAGCTCGAGCCGCACGAGGCAACAAAATCGTCCTCAACGCCGGCGGCGAGTGGCGAGAAAAGAGTTCAACGCCACGATACTGCCAGTCCAGGGGACCACAAACACGGCGATTGGTCTATTTAGTCTACAGCAACCAGGTGGATGCACATCTCACGTGGAGACTTCAATAGGTAAACAGTGGCAACACCCTCCTACCCGGTACCAAAAAAAGGTGGTACAATATGGTTCCTATCTCATCGGCAGGTGCTGCTGCTGTAGACCGCCCAGGGAGAGGGCTGAACGTACGAGGGAGCGCCAGCACTCGTGACCCATGAACACTAAGGTTGTTTGGCATTCGCTGACCCTTGCTGGCGTCGTCAGGAAAACGATTATGAATCACGCAGCAGCCATCCCATAATATATCCATCATGTGAAGACAACGACAACAACAACAACATGCCACGCCGCTCATGATAGTCAGCGCGCGACACGCTCCAGGCCACAGCAGTAGCAACATTCCAGCATGCACCGCGGCACCCGAGACACGAAAGGCCGTTACTCCGAATGCTCAGCAAACCACAGCAGCGGTGCCAGAGGAGACACAACGCATCGAGATGGCCCGGATATCTCTGCCGAAGCGCAGGACAAACACACATGATGATGATACATGATGATGTGGCCGCCACAGGTGCGGCTACTGCTGCATGCGTGCTCAAAACAGAAAAAACCTAGAACGGGTACACCCACGACGTGTCACACCCCCACTATGCCTGCTTGAAGACGACGACACAAACTTGTCTGCCTCTGCACAGCCAATACACTGCCTCATGAATCATCACGAACAGGCGAGCTTTTGAGTCGCATGCTGCTCGGTGCCCACGACTGAACCCGTGTCTCTCTCCTCGCTTTACCTCGATCTCGGGGTGGTCTGTCGGGACCTTCATCGTCGTGGCCGATCGGCTAGAGCCCACGCCTGCGGATGTCCGCAGCGGCGTGCCCATGAAGAAAGCATCCGCGCCAAGCGCCAGGCAAGCGAGAGCGACAACCCTTGAGAACATCATCTTTGATCTCCGGGAGAGGAAAGGGAGAGGGAGGAGGTAGGAGGGATGGATTGTTGTTGCCCACGTGTGTGTCTATCCCCTTCATGACGACTACCTTTTCCGTCCCCGAGTCCCTGGGGTTTCCACGTTAACACGCAGGCGGCATGCCGATCTCGGCTGCTGCGTACTTGAAGATTGAAGTCTATGTGTTTCGTAACAAATGCATATGCATAGTACTGCTATAGACACGGCTGCAGATAAAGCGCCAAAGGTACGCATATGTACGTAGTTGTGCGTCACAACGTACACCCGATGCGGCCAAGTAAGCCAGATGTACTGATGCTTGTTTTGAGTTGAGTGAGAAGAGAAAATATTTCACAGAACTATTCTGTAGGGTACGGGAGGTGTCACAGAACCCAAAGAACTATTCTGTATTGTACGAGGGTTCTACAGAACCTCACAGAACTATTATGTATTGTAGGGGCGTTACAGAACATGCAAAGTTTGTCTGTAGGTAATTACAGAGGGTAATTACCCCCGATACAGGTCTGTGAGTACCCTACAGAACACACCCGTGATTATTTGATGTAGAGACAACGAACAAGAAGATCTCGCCCGCGCGAGCGAGCATGATGATGTCAAGTATGCATGTCAACCGACAGGCCCGACTCATGCGACGAACGAACACAGCAGGATAACACGGGGTATGCATTTATGTTCATTTGTGGGAGATATAGAGTCAGCAGTGCAACAGCAGTTGCGTCCAAAGAGTTGAAAGATGAAATATTGGTACTGCTGTACTTTTGGGAGGCATTTTATTACCCTGTTGTTTTCGTGCACCCAAAAATTCCGTCATGGTCCCGTTTCTGTGCGAGTCAGACATGGCATGCATCCCATTCGTTGTGTAATTTGTTGTTTCATTGCTTGCGAAAGCGACAAATGTACCGGGTATCCCCCATAGTGGCACAAGCAGTGGAAAAGTGGACAACCGCTATGTAAGCAATTGCTACCGCTGGCGCTCGGACACTGGCGTAGTTTTACAAAGCAAACATATATTTCAAGGTTATTTACGAAAGGAGCTTCACCCGCTTGCAAGACTTTTTTTTTTTTCGCATCATTGGACTGTGTCGTCTGCCCCTCTGGCCCCTATCCTCCACTGCTACTAGCTAGACGACCCAACCGGGGTCACACAGGAGGGGGATTGGACCCCCTCCTGCAAGACATGTACGTGTACGTACATTGTACGTTGCGTCACTTGCATTCATTCTGCGGAACGTCCAAGCGATATCCTGCATGTAGACTAGACTATGTATAATATAATCATCCAGTGGGGGGGGCTGTTTAGTGCCAAAACAGTATGTGCCCAGAGAAAGTTGACGGCATAATTATGCTGGACACTGGCACTGTTCAAAGTACTTGAAATGACTTCATGATTCAGTCTGTGGCAGCCATTAAACCGAAACCGGGACAAAAGTCTACATGTTACCGGGCACGGGCCCTAGATACTGTTCAAATCGCACCAAACAGGGCCCTCCAATGATGTACCATACGACTTGCTGTGTGCTTGTAGACCATCCACACATGAAAGACAAGTTCATGTAGTTACATCTGTACATGAAATCTCATCTCGTCGTCCATGTTTTGCCAAAATCATAAGCAATAGTCTACCCAGAGGTCTATGCAGTCTTATTTTTCCCATCATGGTACGCTGCCCCTTTGCATCTACTCCGAGCAGTTTGCAAGCTATGACGACTGCATGCATACGAAACGAACGAAGGACGTTCGTCCGTTCCACTTTCAAGGGCTTGGGATGCACGAGAACTGCTGTCCGCAACGGCAACAAGGGCGCACGCCGCATAATACGCCAATAAAAACATCAAAGGTGGGCAGCTAAACAGAAGAAGACCGTGCGGGTGGAGTGAGTGACTCACGTTAGACCCATCTTTCACCACACATTTCACATCCACATAAATTAGTCTCTACTCTCGATCCTTAATGAAAACCGCCCTTCCTCCTCCACCAAAGATACATTGCGAAAAAAAACACCCTTAAAAGTTTTTCACACGAGAGAGTAATCAATCACCATTGCCTGCGGTTCTTCATTACACGCACCCCTTTCAAGCACAAGGTACTTCCCGCCGAACCCCTGATCCAGCGACAACGAATACACAACAAGCACGCCCTACGATATTCACCTATTCCAACTCCCGTTCCTTTGATGCAAACCGTGCATCCTGCTGTTTCAAACGGATAGTGATGGTGTTAAGTAAAAAGGGATTCATGACGGTAGCTCCTACAGCAACACAATAAAAGGGGACGAAGCAGCAAACATCACCAGGCAGGAAAGCCTCCATTGAACAGCGGCGGCGCACGCGTGCCGCTTCAAAATGACAAGAAAGTTCAACGAGAAGAACGTTAAGTCATTCATAATAGCATGCTGGGAGCGGACAATGGCGCACGTCGATGCAAAATACCGCCCGCCACACGGCTTTCTCCACAGCTCACCCTCGAGACTACCAAAACGATCAAAACTTCAACCAACTGCCACATTGCAAAAAAAAAAACGCCATTTTGCAAGAAACACGAAGCGAAAAACGTGGTGCAGTAGGAGTCGAAACAACAACGGCTGGTGAGGCAAACGCAACGGCCTCCATCCAACAACATTCCTTTGCAACGGAACACGTGGAGAACCAATCTTACGTTGTCTCGTCACAATTTCATGTTTTCGCCGCGCGGCTCTGTCCTCTACGACCGCCCGAGCCCCGCCCCCTCCCCCCCGCCGCCGAGCCCCGATCGCTGCTCAGGCAGATGTCGTTCTCGGACAGCAGTGGGCAGGACAATACAGTAGTGCGACACCTGCCGGACGAACGCAATGGGTCCCGAAAACCGAGACAAGGGACCACACTTTCTGTCGCCCTACAAAAACTCTTCTACAATTTTACCACCAAGCACACCCGCTCCCCTGCTGCTTTTTTTCGGTACCGACGTGGACACATACTCCGTGTGATGGGGGGGGGTGTAGTCTACTCATAGTCGTGCATGCCGTAGTCGTTAGACCATTGACCTCACATCCCTACCAAGCCGGGACGGAGCACAACGGGTTCTCACCGGACCAGGCTCTCACATCACCAAGCGCAAAGCGCCGTGAGGTATTCGGCGAGTCGGATGAACGGTGCGCTGCATCCTGCTGAGGGTGTTCGGCATCTTGTGCTTACTTCCTTGCATACGGATGACAGCTGCGTATGACTTAGTTTATTTTCTGGTGCTTTCACTTCCAGAGAAGGTTGTAAGCACTGTGTAACTGCCTCGAGGGTGCTTGACCATTTTAACACATCGTGGTGCGATCATCCCCCTTGCGCGGAGTGAGGGTTCTCCACCCCGCACAACATGATCTACTCGACCACCATTATGGTTACCGCCAAAAAAAAGAATAAAAAAAAAACAACGGTAACCTGGTTGCCGAGTTCACGAAGTGAATTGGCTTGTTTTACAACGTCGCTGCCAAGCGACGAAAATCCAACCCCGATGGCAAACAACGAGGGGGGGGCGGGGGTGCTCATACCACACACTGGCTGAAACACACCCACACGACCAGCTGCCAAAGAGGAGAAAGCAGCAAAATAAAATACACCCCTGGACCAGTTTTCGAGGGCTCGATTACTCCACACAGCGGTAGAAAGAGTGGCGGTGCCCAAAATGGAGGAGTTGGAACCGTCTCGTTCGAGACCTTGCCAAAAACAAATTATTAGAGTTTGGCCTCCTCTTCGTCGTGGAGCCGTCCAAGCTTTGAAAATTCGATCCAGGGGGTGTGGTATCTTGCGTCACCGACGGTATCCACCACCCCGTTTCCCTCCCACCGCATCCGCGTGGAACTCCGGAAACGGCACACCTTTCTTGGGGTCTTTCCCCTTGAGGGGAGGGGGGGAGGCACAATGTGCCTTGCCCGACCACTGCAAGAGCTAGCTCCTGCTTCGATCGCATCATCCCGTTTCTATCGCTGCGTGAGATGAATGCTGCTCCGGGGCCATCGTGCAACGCGCACTCCCATGGATCGCTGTTCGATGACGGAGGCATTGCTGCTAGACCGGCGTGTCTACCGCTTTTCGTGAGGCGGTGGCCGCTTGTGTCCATCGCCAAACCCTGACATAAAACAGAAAAAAAACGACGAAATAATGTAGCATGTGGAATTCGCGAGCAGCGAGGACGCACGCGAGGCAAAGGACTCAACTCGACATATTGAGACGGCAATTATTGCATGCACGCCCAGTCAAGCGGGAACGACCAACGTGTTGCAGGAATGTCAACATAGGTGTTGCAAAATGGCTTGGGCTTGTTACTACTAATGCTGTAGTTTAATCATTGTGTCTACTGCAACGTATTGCTCAGGAATGTCACTATACATGAGACCGGTTGCTAAAAGGCTTCCGCTTTGTATGACTAGTTTGGTAACTGTTTCTATAGCAGCGTTGCTCTTTATTGCTGTGGAAAGGCAATCGTCACGACTGGGTGCGCTTCTATCGCAACATTGATGTGGAAACTCTAATTCTATCGTCACACCTTGGTGGGCTCGGAAGGGGGTGGAAGAAGAAGAAGCCGCCGCCGCCGCTGTAGCAACGGCTACGGCAGCGGCTACCGCTGCAGGACTCGCGGCCTGCGATGCCGATGATGACGGGTGGTAGGGGGTCTGCTGTGGCGGCGGCATGGATCGCCGCTGTTGGTGCTGTTGTTGCTGCAGCTGCTGCTGCTGCCACCGTTGCTGTTGCTGCGGCTGCTGGAACGTCGCTATCACAAGGGTGGTTAAGAGAGAAGCAAGGCGTACAGACAGCAAGAAGCAGATTACAGGCGGACACGAGACCGAGAGAGAGAGGAGCAACGATATGTCGAGACGCGTGACCGGCAAGCGACGATCAAGGTGTTGGGGCGCCTACACACGACAACGCTGAATAGTCCGACGTCCGACGCAAATCACACAAAAAAAGGAGGACAGAAAGAAATCAAAACGAAGACGTTGACGCTGGTCCATGGCAACGAAGAGCGGGTACGATGGGAAGACCGCCGCGTAAAAAACAATCGACATGCTGTTGGCGTAATTCATGCGTAGGCTAGACCACTCTTCTCCATGGCTGCCCTCTCAAGGGAACCCGTGGGTTTGAAACCGTCCTAGTAGCGTTTTTCCGCCTCACCAAGACCGACGTCATTGGTCATACGCTCAGCGTGGTCGATGAATGTTAACAATAGGAGCACACGCGAGCAACCGTGTTTTGCAACATGGTACAGGGCATCACAACCTCTTCCCATACCCAGCCGCTGCTGTAGCACACGACGATATACCGTGTGGCACACGACAAACCGCCAACACAACGCAAGCAAAACGCCCAAAACGCCACAAAAAACACAAAAGCAACGTAACCTGACAACACCCGAAACACTAGGTCCACCTTAAACACGTACAGCAGATACCACGCCAATACTAAATACAAGACTGCTGGTAGGTCCGCTGCCGCTGAGACGCTTTCAAGCACGTACCACGCGAACGCTTCGTCGTGAAGCAGATCTGGCAGCATGCACCAACGACCAAAACCAAGCAAAGCTAGCACAATGCAAAAAAAAAAAGACGCAGGCCAGCACGTTGGATTGCTCGATTCCCCGTTCTCTGACACTGCACCGCCGTCACCAGAAAATGGTTCACGATGCATACTCCTTGTATACATACGCTTCTAAATATGTAGGGTAGATTCTTGGCTGACTCGACATGTGGGCGCACCTCTGCTGTTGTCCTGCGGCGGCACTGCACTACCGTACGACACGGCCCCGGAGTACCCGTGAACTCCCGGAGTAGGCGTGATCATCCCGGGGCCGACACCGTCCATCGGACTCAGCCCACCTAGCGACATCTGTATACGGTATGTAGAATCATCGCGGCCACAACGAGTGCAAGGGGTCATGCGTCGAACTTGAGCCTAATAGTCAAGAGGTCATGCTTCGAACTTGAACAATCTCTGAAATAATTCGAAGCTCGAGATAATATATAACCTCGGAAAGACCTATGCGGCGAGGGGGTCGCGGGTTGGGGATGAGGTGGGGGGGGTGCATCCCTGATCCGCAACGAGGTGTACAGCCAGCTGGCCAGCGGGTGGTGAACGGCGAGAGCAGAGAGCAAATTGGGGGTGCGAGACAACGAAGACATCCATCGGCCGTACACGCCGCACGCACACACCCGCGTGCCCCTACCTGTGCTGCTGGTGAAAGAGCCTCGTAGCCAGAAGCGTCCATGGCGTCCAGACTCGGAGAGGTTGACCAGGATCCAGGAGAAGCCTAGAAAAAAAATAAAAAGCGCCGAAATGAAAAAAGTCCGTCTCAAGAGGGAATCAATCGTTTCTTATGAGACATGGTTAGGGATTCGCATTGCTGCATTGAGTCCATGTGCGCCGCTGCGGTGGGCAAAGAATGGTCTAACCCGAGCGGGACAGTAGAAAATCGCAGACAACAAAAACAGGAGAGAAAAAGGACGAAACTGACGGGCGAGTGTACGTCCTGACGGGCGAGTGTACGTATGTCAACGCATGCCGTAGTTGTTAGACAATTGACCTCGCATCCATACAATGCCGGGACGGAGAAGCGATATGCCGGGTGTTTGGCCGTCCAGGTTGCGCGCTTCACAATAATGAACCAGGATATTTCGGGCGAGGGTAGTACAGGAGCTCCAGCGTTTCGACAGCGGTGCACGACTGGTACTGTATGCTCAAGTAAATGATATCATGATGCCATCATGCCATCGTTCGACGTATCTACGGCATCCAGGGAGGGAAAACTGATTGACGTATAATACATAGGTACGATAGCACACATGAGTCTTGATTGATTGAGTCTTTACCGACTGCCTGAGGTGCTGTTGGCGTTCGCCCTCCGCCGCCTGTTTTGCCACGGCGAGGAGGTTCTCTCCCTGAGCAGACGGTCGATACACTAATAGCTCCCTGGAAAGCAGTGCAAGAAGAAGCAGCAGCAGCAACAGACAACAAGATAGCAGCAGCGACCAAAAAGGAGCTCTCATTAGTGTCACCACAACGGACACGTTTTTCGAGAACATATGGTCCACGCATAAGAGACAGACTACATACCCGTCGGATATTGTACCTTGAAGAGGATGGCGAGACTTGACAGTTCTTTCGCTTCCACGCGCAAAAAAAAAAAACGCGGCAGACCAAGGTGGGGAATACGTACAACACAATATGCATGCACGGCCCCGAGCACAGAGTATTTCAAGGTCACGAGACACACCCTACTGTAAAGGTGCACCAACGAACGACTCTCTCAGATATGTTGAGCTCCGCCACACAAGATGGATGGTGAGATATCGACACCGCGAAAGGTTTGTTCACGCCTACACACGCGGGCGCGCTCTCGCCGTCCTCCTCTGAACCAGCAGCAAAGAAACAGCGACAGAAAAACAGTGAAAACAAAAAGATGTGCGTAGAGAACAAAAACAAAAGAGATAAAAAAAAAAAGAAAGGATGAACGGTTTGAGGCACACTCACTCTAGGACGAGCGCCTTGAGCTCGCCACGGGGGATAACCCTCTGCTTCTTCGGCACCAGCCTGTCCGACGACCCTCCCCCTTCCTTCTCGAAGTCGAAGTCGAAGATCTTTCCGCAATTGGGCTCCTTGCCCACCATCTATTGACAGGGGTTTCGATTTGTCGGTGGATGGTTCAAGAGAGATCCATTCTGCCCCTGGTTAACGTTCTTCAAACGCGAGTTCCTCGAGTGTGATCGGACGGGGGGGTCTCTTGTAATTTATTTTAACTGGTTTTCGATTCTGTTATTGTGGTCGTTGTTGGCGGTGTTACAAAAAACGCGCTGTCTTCCAGACGCCTTCACCATTCCAAAGCAAACAAATAGACGCCACTTGTTCCTTACAGACGTCTGCCTGCGGCAAACTACAAACTATTGTTTTTTGTTTGTTTTTTTTGTTTTTCTCCCATCATTGGACTCTGTCGTCTGCACCTCTGGTCCCTATCCTCCACTTCTGCCAGCTAGACGACCCAACCGGGGTCTCACATAGGAGGGGGAGGTTGGACCCCCTCCTGCGGTTCCTGCCTGAGATATTTTTATCGCGAGAACGGTACAGCAATCCCTTCCCTCGCGACTCATGAAGTCGATCAAGTTTACTAACAACGAGCTTTGCAGCACGTCGCTTCCAACGGAGACCAGGATTTGATAAGCGAGAAAAAACTCTCTCTGTTGGGTGGACTCGAACCCATGACCTGGCTCTTAGCAGGCTGCGAGGCTACCCACTAGACCACCGGGGCGACCGGCACTATATGCCCCTTTGTCTTTTTCGTTGTGAGCGACGGTGACCAAAACGGCGTCTCGGACAAACAGCGGTGGTACGTGTAGACGCCCTTACGCACAATTCTGGCACAAAAAACAAGCCAGCCGAGGTGCATGCAGACAACCTGAAGACATAACGAAATATGCAGTTTCAAAAGAGGTACGCATACTGCTGCAAAAAAACTGTCCGATTCGGCTGTACTTCGGTCCGGTCTTGTTCGTTAGGCGGACAAACATACCTGTGCGTGAAGGTCTGCAAGGTAGGGGTGCTCCAGGGCCTCAACAACACCGATGCGCCTCCGTGGATTGAAAACCAACTGCAGCATCATGAAGGGG